AAAAGAAAAACTTTCACCATCATTCACTCCATCACTGTCTTGCCAGAAGGGTGCTTTACACTACAGTTTTTAAACTGCAACATTAACACCCCTCCTTCAGAGTGCAGGCACTGTACTTCCCATCTCCAGGACTCAAGTCCGGCCTGCCGGTTTCCCTGAATCCCTTCATAAATGTTACTTTGCTCACACTCCAACAGCACGTCAAGTATTAAAAACCATTTGTCTCCATTCACTCCTATCAAACACGCTCACGCATGCCTGCTGGAAGTCCAAGCCCCTCACACACAAAACCTCCTTTACCCCCTCCCTCCAACCCTTCCTAGGCCGACCCCTACCCCGCCTTCCTTCCACTACAGACTGATACACTCTTGAAGTCATTCTGTTTCGCTCCATTCTCTCTACATGTCCGAACCACCTCAACAACCCTTCCTCAGCCCTCTGGACAACAGTTTTGGTAATCCCGCACCTCCTCCTAACTTCCAAACTACGAATTCTCTGCATTATATTCACACCACACATTGCCCTCAGACATGACATCTCCACTGCCTCCAGCCTTCTCCTCGCTGCAACATTCATCACCCACGCTTCACACCCATATAAGAGCGTTGGTAAAACTATACTCTCATACATTCCCCTCTTTGCCTGTTGGGTTATCTTATTGAAACTTGGGCAATGTATGATGGAAAGATACTTTTTCACGTACACCAAAAATGAAAGAAATCAGACCATAAATAGCGGAGTTCACTTCTCAGCCGTTAGCGGCCGCTTAGAGGCATATTTTTGTATGGTTGTTACGTTATATTCTCATTTTTTCGGTCTCATTTGATAGAATGAAAGATATATTACAGAAATAGACATGATTTTGATTGCTTTCATGACGAAAAGTACCTTGAAATTGTGCTCACAGTAGCGAAAATGTTCTATTCTTTAGTGATGCCCAAGACTAAATAAATGACGTCACCGTCCAATACCTGTCCGCCTGCCAGTCTAAATTCCAATACGTAGTCAAGAATGGCTTGACATTATTTATACAATTATTACAATATTGCAGTACTATGCATAACAGTAAATCTTCTATTTTTTTGTGAATAAAAATTCCAAATGAAAAGCAAGAGTAATATAAGAGGGACCTGGAGCTGTGACTAATGAACAGAGAAAATGTTATTTTAGTGCCAGGAATGTCTGTATTGTTTATTCTGGATCCTATTTTGAAATTGGCATATGTTGAAATTTGTGTGAAATCGGCCAAACTGCCAATTTCTGACCACTTTATTGGGTAGTTGAAATAATTGAATGGGCGGTTTCTTGTACTCAGTTGACAGATTAGAAGTAAATAAGTTTATTCAGGTATACACAAATACAGCTACGTAGGTTATCATACAAAGCAGTGTATGTATACAGAACCTGGGATAACCCAGAAAAGTCAGACAAAGTGACTTACTTCTAGTACCTGGCTTGGGCTTGCCATACATGATTTTTGGTAAATATTTTTTTTTTTCTCGGTTGTTTGTTGGGCTATCACATTGAAACTTGGGCAATGTATGATGGAAAGATGCTTCTTAACGTACAACAAAAATAAAAAAGACGGACGATAAATAAAGGAGTTCACTTCTCAGCCATTAGCCGCCTCTTTGCAGTATATTTTCGTATGGTTTTTATGGTTGTATTCTCATTTTTTTGGACTCATTTGATAGAATGGAAGATATATTACAGAAATAGACATGATTTTGATTGCTTTCATGACGAAAAGTACCTTGAAATTGAGCTCAAAGTAGCGGAAATGTTCGATTTTTGCCGATGTTCAATGAACTGTGTAAGTCATGTTGGTTAATTTTATTAAGTGTATTCTAACCTAACCACTCTGTAATCCGGCACACTACAGGTCCCAATGATGCCGGATTTGTGATGGACGACCTGTACTTCACTGTCCTGCCTCTTGAAAAGTACCATGAAGGACTAGTGAAAATAAACCATACCATTGAGCCTTCTTGGATTATCCAGGATTATTACACTGCAGGGTTACTAATCCAAATAAAGTGGTAGTGTTCTCTTACCACAATTCAATTTTGCACTTGTCAAAGTACAGACCTTATTAATTACTGTAGGTTTATTTTACTTCCTGCTAACAATGTGCAGTATCTGTTAATTCCAGAATCATGACAATGTAACCTGAACTCAGACTAAGTCTCTTAAAACAGAAATTAATAAACAAAATAGAATTAAGAAATGCACAGAAAAGTAAAGATAAATGCATACTTAATGTATAGTTAGTAGATACATGAAATTTTTATATATCTGACACCTACTCATTCATTAGAGAAAGTCAAGATCTGCAAACTTGCCAGTGCTATACATTAAATAGGCTTTCACTTCAGACTCATAACAAAACGGTAGTACAGGTCTCCCTCAACATTCGCAAGGGTTAGGGGATCAAGAGCCTCGCGAATGTTGAAAAATCGCAAATGTTTGGTGCCCCAATATATTGTAGGGAAATACGTATAATACAATACTGCTTCGTTAACCTATTGAACCATGAACAATCATAAAACAGCCCTTTGGTAAAGGCGAGAAAAACTATAGAATTCAAGAAAGAACTCGTAGCAGAGTACCAAAGCGGAGTAGGGAGAGAATGTGCCTTCTTCAGTGATTCTACAATATGTACGATACTAAAGCAGCACAAACTGATAAAGGCTATAGCACCAACCAGCAATAAAATGTAGCATTAACAGTGTAGCAAGTAACTTGAGCGATTAATCGATAGAAAAAGGACAGAACAAACCTAACTCCTCCAATGTTGTTGGAGTTACATAAGGCGACTGATAACACCGCCGTCTCTAGTCTCTACCGCCTCTGATGCTGCCTCCACCACCATGTACGGCTTATGCTCTCAGTAGCCATTATACACCCAACAACAACACAGCAACACTCGTGACATACTTAATGATGTATTTTATTCATTCTAAAGTATATGTCACGTTTCTATGTGATTAATAATGTTTGTCATATTAGATGAACTGTGATAGATAAATAAGCTGTAGAGTTGATATTAGTGTCATATTGAAGGACTATCTTGTCCAATCTCCAAACAAACTCTACCACCGCCACTATTCCTAACATATGCAATGACATAATTTAAATATGTCATTACATATGTTAGGAATTTGTGAATGTTTGAAGCCCGCAAAAGTGGAAAACTCGAATGTTGAGGGAGACCTGTACTGTATAACATGTTCCTAGATGGTTGCTGTATACACTGTACTTACCACCAGGGTGATCAAAACAAGGAAAATAAAGTAAACTGTATGTGAGGTGAAATGGTCAAATGATAAATGAATCATCCAACTTTGGAATTCACACTATTACTCTGGCATCCATCTCTGACTTTCTGACTTATAACAAAGGAAGAAAGTGGTTTTCAGGTGCCATTTGAGCCAACTTTAATTTGAGAAATCTTTTGTATCCCCAAAAGGATAACTTTATGAGGTTATGAGATTGTTTTTTCTTTCTACTTTTCAATAATATGTATCTTAACACCTCATCCAACTGCCTTCAAATTTTCAACACCTGTACAGTAATGAGGACCAGATTCATGAACATTTGGAATGATCACAACCCCATTCCCAGGATCCTGGAATGGCTTGGATACCTTCTAAAAACCTTAGTGGCAGCACAGCTTCCAATGTGTGAAGAGTGAAATTTAAAACCTATGCTTTACACTAGGGATAAAATAATACCAAAACTTTTGCAGAAATCAATACTCAATTTAAGGTTAATAACATCAAAATTAACTGATACTCAATTTTAAGCATTGAAATTTGTCAATTTTTAGAAACCAATACTTTGGTACATCCCAAGTTTGCACCACAATACTTTGGTACAGTCCCTGTTTGTCTCCATGGATAACATTCTTCGTCTCCACAGATGCCTCAGTTCACTATCCAGCTTTTTTCCCTGCATCAATATTGTGATTCACCTCATCTTTCTGAACCTCATTTTTTCTATCAGACTTCCACATTCGCACATGCAGTCTGCCTCGGAGGTTGATTCAGCTATGAACAATATGCAAGGAACCCCATTTTTGTGCTGGATACTCCAGGGTCTTCCATTATTTATTGTAGCTGCCCATGGGTCTTCCATTATTTAATGTTGCTCCCCATATGTGATGTTCTGGGATAGCTTATGCTCCTGTAACCGAGGCTTGGGGAGCTTTAATATGACCAAATGTTTATTACCTTTCTTCCTATAATAGACTGTCACTGTAGATTATGGGTCTAGGCTCACCCCTTTACAAGTAGCTATAGTGTTAACTGTAAGGATCACGTACACGCAGGCATCACCTGACCATGCATGGATATGCAATTTTGGCACAAAATGCAGGGGTTGGCAGCCTAAGGGGATAAACAGAAGATACGTGGTTTCACAGAAGTTTAGTGATTGGTGATCAAGCACTAATGGACCTGTAATAAAGTTGGTAGAATTACCGACAATATGTAAAGTAAAAGGACACAAGTGCAACTAATGTGACATTTTATTGTGGCTTGATAAAGCTCCTGGAGAGCGAAACGTTGCCACAATAAAATGTCACATTAGTTGCACTTGTGTCCTTTTACTTTACTAATGGACCTGCAGGTGTAGCCAGAAATAATTACACAAGTTAACCCTAGTGCTAGAAAGGAGCTACAAGTAGGGTATTATCCTTGCACTGAGATACTGGTCAACTCGGTCAGTACACAAATAACCCGCTCGTCGAAGACGAACCTGTGATAAGTTTGTCTTCTACGTTTTGGGCATTAACTCATCACACAGACATCTTGGTGTAAGTCAGACCGGAACGTCATCAAAAGTTTGTCTCATACATGTGGGTTATTTGTATAATAGGAGTATAAGAGCAAAGTAGTTTTAAGACATTTGGCAAGCAAATAAAGAGTAAATATTGGAAGTTCGTACTCAACTGCTGTATTACATACTAGCATTCAACCAAAATGTGTAGTGAACTTTACCTTCTCATCAAAGTCAAGACCCAGTGTTTGATGAATAATTGGAATGGCTGTACCAACAGGTCTTGACAATACTCTGAGGGAAATATTTACCATCTGCAAATCTTTACTTCCTGTAGGAGAAGTGATTTTCCTGGGGCGGGCCCTGCAACATAATCAAAGGTTACAATCTGAACACTCCAATATAGTACAGTAACCCTTTGATATAAAGGACCTCAATAAAACAAACTTTTAAAATAATGGGAATAATCCAGTGGGTAAACTCAACTTTTAGCTCCTTTTTTTTTATATTCAAAACAGTATGATTGTAAAGTAAATAGTGTTTACATTACTATAGTATACATAAGAACACTAAGAGCTTTTTGCTATTTTTAAACAATTCTGATTTAACAGACATTCAAACAATCCCCCCAATTAGTCCTTCACATTGCAGAATTACTGCTACTGTAATTTATAACTACTGAAGAATCTTAAAGTTAATCCCTTGAAAGCAAAATTATTATATGCTTTTTAATTGACAACTGGTGATCCATAAATAAAAATATGAGAACTATAAATCCTTTCCCACTCTCGTGTAGAATTTTGTCATTGAGGCCAGCATCACTTAAGTAGACCTATATCTTAATCATAGCACCCTCAAATGCACTGTGATCAGTAAATTTTTGCCTCGACACGAGAGAATGAGCATGTTGGTGTGCACAGTATGAAAAAAAATTTGCACTATGCAGTGCATGACAGGATCAACGAAACTCTGACCTGTGTTAAAATAGTAACCGAAAGACATACATATACTAGTGGAACAGAGATTTTGATCATCTTCAGACTGCATGACACCTGAAATAGACCTCAAAGTAATAAATATTAGATCTGGCAATTTTCCTGAGTAAGGGTAGGCACCATATTTCTGGTCTATTGAGTTTTTATTAGGTCTGCTTCAAATATCCAGACAGCCTAAACAACGTCTAGTCATTCTTGGTTATATTTTATTACCCGAGAAATGTGGTAAAACTTTAAAAAAAATTCAGGCTTGTGAATATGATTAGTGAATGGTAGAAATGCTTTAGTAGCTGGAATGCCTACAGTGTTACTGGACCTTTTTTAACTGGAATTTGTTGAATTTCATGTAAAACTGGGCAAATTACCTATTTCTGGTTGCATCATGGGGCACTTTTCAGTTTAATGGGAAGTGTCTTGTACTCAATAGAAAAGCAGGCATATAGCAGAACAGCCAAGTACTGGGTTGTTTCAGCAATGGAATTGGAATTACTGTTACACAAAATGCTCACGACTTCCAATTTCGCACCTGCTTAATAATAGAGAAAAAGATTCCCTACCATTTCAGAAGAAATGTTTTTTGATAGGAGGAGGAATTACAACACTGATGGTACTTTTAATTTTGTGAGTAAACAGTATGCCATACACGGTAACAACCTGATATCATAGATGACTGGATAATGAAACCAGGGTATGCGAAAGTGCAATCCTTCCGAGTAAATGTCTGGCTGAATTCCACCAATCCGGCTGAAGATAATGGCGCGATGACCACCCTCAACTGAAAGGAAAATTTGTATTAACCATTTACTGCAAATGGGTAAACTAATGGTAAACTAAAAATAGTTCTTCTAGTTAATTAGACTACATAATACTGACATATTATATGTCAAGAAAAAGAGGATAAATAAGTATACACGATATGATGTAGGGCGAAATGACAGTAGTTTGTTGGATTATGTATTGGTAGATAAAAGACTGTTGAGTAGACTTCAGGATGTACATGTTTATAGAGGGGCCACAGATATATCAGATCACTTTCTAGTTGTAGCTACACTGAGAGTAAAAGGTAGATGGGATACAAGGAGAATAGAAGCATCAGGGAAGAGAGAGGTGAAGGTTTATAAACTAAAAGAGGAGGCAGTTAGGGTAAGATATAAACAGCTATTGGAGGATAGATGGGCTAATGAGAGCATAGGCAATGGGGTCGAAGAGGTATGGGTAGGTTTAAAAAATGTAGTGTTAGAGTGTTCAGCGAAGTTTGTGGTTACAGGAAAGTGGGTGCAGGAGGGAAGTGGAGCGATTGGTGGGAATGATGATGTAAAGAGAGTAGTAAGGGAGAAAAGTTAGCATATGAGAAGTTTTTACAAAGTAGAAGTGATGCAAGGAGGGAAGAGTATATGGAGAAAAAGAGAGAAGTTAAGGAGAGTGGTGAAGCAATGTAAAAAGAGAGCAAATGAGAGAGGGTGAGATGTTATCAACAATTTTGTTGAAAATAAGAAAAAGTTTTGGAGTGAGATTAACAAGTTAAGAAAGCCTAGAGAACAAATGGATTTGTCAGTTAAAAATAGGAGAGGAGAGTTATTAAATGGAGAGTTAGAGGTATTGGGAAGATGGAAGGAATATTTTGAGGAATTGTTAAATGTTGATGAAGATAGGGAAGCTGTGATTTCGTGTATAGGGCAAGGAGGAATAACATCTTGTAGGAGTGAGGAAGAGCCAGTTGTGAGTGTGGGGGAAGTTCGTGAGGCAGTAGGTAAAATGAAAGGGGGTAAGGCAGCCGGGATTGATGGGATAAAGATAGAAATGTTAAAAGCAGGTGGGGATATAGTTTTGGAGTGGTTGGTGCAATTATTTAATAAATGTATGGAAGAAGGTAAGGTACCTGGGATTGGCAGAGAGCATGCATAGTTCCTTTGTATAAAGCAAAGGGGATAAAAGAGAGTGCAAAAATTATAGGGGATAAGTCTGTTGAGTGTACCTGGTAAAGTGTATGGTAGAGTTTATAATTGAAAGAATTAAGAGTAAGACGGAGAATAGGAATGCAGATGAACAAGGAGGCTTTAGGAAAGGTAGGGGGTGTGTGGACCAGTGTTTACAGTGAAACATATAAGTGAACAGTATTTAGATAAGGCTAAAGAGGTCTTTGTGGCATGTATGGATTTGAAAAGGCGTATGACAGGGTGGATAGGGGGCAATGTGGCAGATGTTGCAAGTGTATGGTGTAGGAGGTAGGTTACTGAAAGCAGTGAAGAGTTTTTACGAGGATAGTGAGGCTCAAGTTAGAGTATGTAGGAAAGAGGAAATTTTTTCCAGTAAAAGTAGGCCTTAGACAAGGATGTGTGATGTCACCGTGGTTGTTTAATATATTTATAGATGGGGTTGTAAGAGAAGTAATGCGAGGGTCTTGGCAAGAGGCGTGGAGTTAAAAGATAAGAATCACACACAAAGTGGGAGTTGTCACAGCTGCTCTTTGCTGATGACACTGTGCTCTTGGGAGATTCTGAAGAGAAGTTGCAGAGATTGGTGGATGAATTTGGTAGGGTGGTGCAAAAGAAGAAAATTAAAGGCGAATACAGGAAAGAGTAAGGTTATGAGGATAAACAAAAAGATTAGGTGATGAAAGATTGAATATCAGATTGGAGGGAGAGAGTATGGAGGAGGTGACGTATTCAGATATTTGGGAGTGGACGTGTCAGCAGATGGGTCTATGAAAGATGAGGTGAATCATAGAATTGATGAGGGAAAAAGAGTGAGTGGTGCACTTAGGAGTCTGTGGAGACAAAGAACTTTGTCCTTGGAGGCAAAGAGGGGAATGTATGAGAGTATAGTTTTACCAACGCTCTTATATGGGTGTGAAGCGTGGGTGATGAATGTTGCAGCGAGGAGAAGGCTGGAGGCAGTGGAGATGTCATGTCTGAGGGCAATGTGTGGTGTGAATATATAATGCAGAGAATTCGTAGTTTGGAAGTTAGGAGGAGGTGGCGGGATTACCAAAACTGTTGTCCAGAGGGCTGAGGAAGGGTTGTTGAGGTGGTTCGGACATGTAGAGAGAATGGAGCGAAACAGAATGACTTCAAGAGTGTATCAGTCTGTAGTGGAAGGAAGGCGGGGTAGGGGTCGGCCTAGGAAGGGTTGGAGGGAGGGGGTAAAGGAGGTTTTGTGTGCGAGGGGCTTGGACTTCCAGCAGGCATGCGTGAGCGTGTTTGATAGGAGTGAATGGAGACAAATGGTTTTTAATACTTGACGTGCTGTTGGAGTGTGAGCAAAGTAACATTTATGAAGGGATTCAGGGAAACCGGCAGGCCGGACTTGAGTCCTGGAGATGGGAAGTACAGTGCCTGCACTCTGAAGGAGGGGTGTTAATGTTGCAGTTTAAAAACTGTAGTGTAAAGCACCCTTCTGGCAAGACAGTGATGGAGTGAATGATGGTGAAAGTTTTTCTTTTTCGGGCCACCCTGCCTTGGTGGGAATCGGCCGGTGTGATAATAAAAATAATAAAAAATACTGACATGGCTTGGCATCTTTATAATTCAATTTACTTTCATTATACTACTCAATAAAGACTGATATAAAAATGAAACTGCAGTAAAAAAACTCATTAATGGATTAATAGGAAGGGGTATGGTGTGTACAATAATGCAGATTGTCTGCAATTCTCAAATCATGAAATTAATATTTCATAAATGTCTGGCTGTCTTCTGAACCAGTGGACTTGTCCCGGTGATGTAGGACAACTGGACTAAGAATACAGGTATTGTAACCTTTAGTACTACAGTACAATTCTGTACTTCAAAAGATAACTGGGCATTACTGGTCTGGATGAAATGCAGAATTACACTTTTTACCATTTTTCCCAACATGGCTCCAGCCAATCCTTTTTTTTCCCAAAAAATTTCCCAAAAACCATTAACGAGAGAATTTTTCTGAATACCGGAACCCAAAAAATGATTTTTTTTCATGAAAAGACCCGAAAACTCCCCTCAAGTATGCCGATTTCTTTACTTTTTCCCTTAAAATCCCCCAGACTTTGAGAAAGGGGTTTTTACAACATACCCATACAAAAAGGCCCCAGGCCCCCGACTCGTGGAACTCTGTGTTCATTTAAAAAAGGGAAGAAACCCCCCTTTTTTTTATGCCCTAAGTTTACTATGGAGGAAAAAAGCTTTGAATGGGTGAAATTCCCCAGTCACTTAACCCTTTCGGGGCCAAAACCCTAGATTTTCCGGGGTTTAAATTGAGGGGCCAAAACCCTTGAAACTAAAGCCATGAGCTCAGTCACTCTGAAAAAGGGTGTGAGTGGTTTAAAATTTTGGGCCTAAAACCTGTGGTATGTGTGCACCACATAAAACAAAACTGCAGCACACAGTGAATAAGGGGAGAAAGGAAAAAAGAACCCCTAAAATTTCGATTAAAAAAAGGCAAATTTTCAGTGCCCTTTTTTCCCTTTTGCTTTTTAAGTTTATCTGCGATTTTTTTGGTCTCAAATTTTAGTGGAAGATAATTTCAGAAAAAAGAGATTATTTTGATTGGTTTTAGTACTGAAAATGGCTTGAAACTGAGCTCAAAGTAGCAGAAATATTAAGTTTTGCCGATATTCAAGACTAAACTAATGACCTCACACGTCTAATACACGTCAGCTGGTGGGTCTAATAGACGTTCACAAATGTGCTGATATTATTTATACAATTATTACAATATTGCATGACAGTAAATCTTCTACTTTTTGGTTTGAATAAAAATTCATTATGTGAATTAAAAATCAAAATGGAATTCATTTGTAAAGCCTGAAAACATAACTAATGAACAGAGGAAATGTTAGTTTAGTGCCAGGAATGCCCGTATTGTTTATTCTGGACCCTATTTTGAAATTGGAATATTTTGAACTTTGCACTAAATTGGCCAAATTACCAATTTCCAGTCACTTTATTTTGTAGTTGAAACAGTTGAGTTGGCAATTTCTTGTGCTCAATCGATAGAATAGAAGTAATACTAGTGAAATAGCCAAGAATTTTGTTGACTGGAATAAAGTAATTGGCCTAAAATGGGAGTCAAATTCGGCAAAATTATCGATGCGTATTGCTGACACATCAAAATTCACGAGCACAATTTCATCAGTTTTCCATCAAATATCGTACTTTTTGTTTTATTACCTTAAGAAAAAGATTCTCTACCATTTCATAAGAAAAAATAACAATTATTTTTTGAAAATTCTTGGACACTGGTGCGCACTTTGAAATTTGGCCTCTGGACCCTGAAAGGGTTAAAACAATGGATATAGCCCAACTCCATAAAGGTGGCAGCAAAGCATTAGCTAAGAACTGTAGACCAATAGCTTTAACATCCCACATCATAAAAATCTTTGAAAGTGCTAAGAAGAACTATTGCAAACCACTTGGATTCCCTAAAATTGCACAATCCCGGACAACATGAGTTCAGAGCAGGTCGCTCCTGCTTCTCGCAACTATTGGATCACTACGATAAAGTCTTGGATGCACTGGAAGAAAAACAGAATGCAGATGTAATATACACAGACTTCGCAAAAGCCTTTGACAAGTGCTTTGCCAGATGAACTATTAGTAAAAGGACAAGTGCAACTAATGTGACATTTTATTGTGGCAATGTTTCGCTCTCCAGGAGCTCCTGGAGAGCGAAACGTTGCCACAATAAAATGTCACATTAGTTGCACTTGTGTCCTTTTACTTTACATATTGTCGGTAATTCTACCAACTTTATTACAGATGAACTATTGTCACACCTTGTGTCATTATGTACTGGAGTGTGATGAAATTAATGAATTTAGAGACAACTCACTCAGAAATGTTCAAGAAATGGCAAAGTATTTTATCCACAGTGGTATATTACAGACCATTCTGGAGAAATACCCTGACTTTGCTAGCTGTAAATAAAGCATTACCACGTACGTACGTGTGTGTGCGCGCGTGCGCATGTGCGTGCGCACATACGTATTTGTACGCTCGTGTGCATGTGTCTGTGAGTGCGCCTCCGTGTGCGCGCGCGCTCGTGTGGGGTGTATGACCAACTTAATATTTGTATTTATAACTCATTACAATTGTGACCAGGTGTGGACGTATCAGTGGCTCATTACTTTGTAATTTGTTCATGACTGTAACCATGTATAGGAGTGAGGCTCATTCATTACCTTCGTAACTTGCCATCATTGTGACCAGATCTACCTGGAGTTCATTACCTTTGTCACTAGTTCAGCTATCATAACTTTGGGGTCCAGTCCCTGGACCCATTATGTACCGTTGTAATCTTTTGACTACCGCCCACAAGATGGGTATAGGGTGCATAATAAAAATATTAAACTAACAAGTGTTATCATGGCGTAATAGTGCACAAAATACTACTACGTGCTAAAGGAATAACTGGCAAAGTGGGGAGATGGATCTTCAACTTCCTAACCAATCGAACACAGTAGTGGTCAACAGAGTTAAATCGGAAGCTGCCAGAGTGAAAAGCTGTTCCACAAGGCACAGTACTTGCCCTCATCCTGTTCCTCATATCAGACAGATATGTAATCCACAGCACCATGTCATCCTTTGCAGACAATACTAGGATCTGCACGAGACTGTCATCTATTGAGGACACAGTTAACCTCCAAGAAAATACAAACCAAGTTTACCAATGGGCAACGGAAAACAATATGATGCTCAATGAAGACAAATTTCAACTACTCCGTAATGGAAAACTGGAGGAGATAACTAGAACCGAGTACACTATAAACTCTGATCATACAAAAGAGTAGAAAAATAATGTGAGGGACCTGGGAATGGTAATGTCTGAGGATCTCACTTTCAAGGATCACAACAATACCACGATCACAACTGCAAAGAAAATGATAGGATGGATAATGAGAACATTCAAAACAAGAGATGCCAAGCCAATGATGATCCTTTTCGAATCACTTGTTCTCTCTAGGCTGGAATATTTCTGCACATTAACATCTCTGTTCAAATCAGGTTAAACTGCAGATCTAGAGTGTACAGAGAACCTTTACTGCACATATAAGTTCTATCAAACATCTCAACTACTGAGAATGCTTGAAAGCACTTGACTTGTACTCATTGAGACACAGGCAAGAGACATATCATAATCTACACTTGGAAAATCCAAGAAGGGATGGTCCCGAATCTGCACACAGAAATCGCTCCCTATGAAAGTAATAGACTTAGCAGGTGATGCAAAATACCCTCAATGAAAAGTAAGGGCACTATTGGTACATTAAGAGAAAACACCATACATAAGTGTCCAGGGTCCAAGACAGTTCAACAGCCTCCCACCAGGCATACGGGGAATTACCAACAGGCCTCTGGCTGCCTTCAAGAGGGAGCTGGACTGATACTTAAAGTTCGTGCCAGATCAGCCAGGCTGTGGTTCATACATTGGACTATGTGCAGCCAGCAGTAACAGCCTGGTTGATCAGGCTCTGATCCACTGGGAGGCCTGGTCGTGGACTGGGCCGCGGGGGCATTGATCCCCAGAATACCCTCCAGGCACACAGTTGTAGAATGAATTTTTTCTTTTAAATTTCAATTAAAATAATTAAAAATTGAATATATATACTGTAGCATTATAAGGAATCAGCATTATTCAAGGTAGCATTATGCAGGGTCACAATATAAATGCCAGTCACTCAATAACTTAGATCTTCATTCAAAATAAATGTAATATGAAGTGAATCAATTTCCTGCTGGATATATTAGAACAGAGCTAGCAACTATTTCACCAAAAATAAGCAGCTGCTAAATGTATTCATAATTATGAATAACATAATTCAACCTTGGTTGATCGGCCCCTAAGATATGTCAAGATGATCTTGGGTTCAATCCCCAAGAGCCTCTATTATCCCTAGGCTTTAGGGCCCCAATTAACATTATTAGCTTAAAATTCTACTTAATTAAAAAAGGGGTATATCATTTGTACGTAGGATAGTAATTATTTTATTTGTACAGTAAAATTTTAATTATAAATGAATAAAAATTTGTATAAAAAAGGAATTTTTAATTCGAAAAGTTTTTGGGGGGAAAACAATGTTAAATTTATATTCCTTAAAACAATGGATAAAAGGTTCAAGTGATTGTTTAGTTAGATGTGGGAGTCATAGGTGAGTAAGTGTTTACTGAGTATTTGATTAAGTTAGGGTGATTAAGGGGCTTTTGAGAAGTCTTAAATTGATTTTCGATGGTTATTTTAAATACTTCGGTAATGAATTCCAATTTTGGGGCCCTTTAGTGCATAGAGTTTACAAGTGGATAGGGGACCGGGTATTCAAAAAGAATGGGTTTTGTTTGTTTTGTGGTCATGTGCCCTCTATTCTACCTCCATAAAAGTTCCTTTATTCGGCAATATTTCGGTTTGCGGTCTTGGATAACATGATATTTTTCAGTGCCTAAAGGCCCAAAATTTTATCAAGTTTTGAAAAATCTGCTTCCTTCCCCTTCTCATCCAGTGATTATGAAAAATGAAAAGAGGGGGACAACTGCAAGTTTTCCCCCGAACCTAAAACATACTGAATCGCAGGGCCTGCTTTACAGCATTTACCTTATGGCGTGTGTAATAAGAACATTTCAAATTATGACCAAAACTGCTTACGGTCCCCCACCGACTTCTAAAACGGTCACCGTGTGTAACCCCTTTGTTGACATTTTGTGAGCTCCGATCTCTCCATTTTTGTCTGGAAACTTTCCCAAAATTCCAAGAGTTTTAAAAATTTTTTCATTTTTTATATTTACTCTGATAGTTATTTCTAAAGGTGCTGAATTTGAATCTGGAAAAAACATAGAAAATGAGAAAGTATTTCTAAAGAGTGCAATAAAAACAGGAATTAAAAAAGGAGATATAAATAAATGAAATATCTAACCAAGACAGAACTTACAGCAATTGATTCAAGTTGGACAAATTTAGATTTGGAAAGCATATAAAGTGCCCTTTTTTTGGGGGGGGGGGTGATAATTGTAGATGAGTGGAATAAACTCCCAGGTAGTATCAATGAGGCAAGAGCTTTGGACAGCTTAAGTTAGATGGGTATAAGTGGGTAAGGCTGGGTGTAAATTAGGCTTGTCTAGCATGGGACAATAGCCCTACTGCCTATTGGCAGTATAAGCCTCAGCTCGCATGTTGAATGTCCAGGGTTCGATCTCTGGCACAAGTGGAAACCAGGTCTATTTGTTACAACAGCTGCTCCTGTTCACCAAGCAGAAAGTAGATAGTGGGTGTCAGCCAATTGGTGTGGGTTGCATTATATATTTACAGAATGTAAAACTGACAAGTAAATAAAACGTGTACAACACTTAAGCATCTTCAGTATGTGAACAACAATTCAACAGAGAATAATACTTACGACAGGAAGACACTAAATAGTTTGAGGTGATGAGTCCCTCAGCCATGAAAGATGGTATCCAGTCCATCATTCTTGATGACTGATTGATTAAACCTGAATGATATTATCAAGTATTCTCTGTTTTGGACTTATAAAGCCACAGGTGGGGAGAATGTCCCTCACAATGAAGATACTCAAGTGTTACAAGCATCTTATTCACCGTGAGTCTCACCCTGGGGAAGGTTTAGAGGCCCCTCAATATAAATCAAGTCAATGCTCTAAGACAACCTGACTTTGAGGGACTGATCACCATTCCTTGCACTGGACTGAAGAAGCCACTGGCTGTCAAAACATACCTAATATTGATACTCAAATATTGGACAAGTGTTGCATTAATCACCACCTGACTATTGGGTTAATCTGGGTTATTAACTCTGGGTTAATAATCCGAAAATCTTCCTTCATACTTAGTTTATTATTCCATCAGATTAAATTCATTACATACATGGGGAAGCGCTAAGCCCGTTGGGGATAAGTTTCCTTCTTTTAGGTAGAACTACACAATAAACCATTCATCTACAAACTACACAATAGTGGATTACAACTTACATAATAACACGAGTAAATTACCTACAACACAGCCCAAAAAGAGTGACATTTCCATTGTGGGTTTTTTGTAATACCTAATAATACACAACTACTGAATTGGAGGTTATCACACTTGATCCGAAGAACCGGGGTATCATCTATTCCTTGGATCAAGAGCCCAAGCATCAGGCTTTAAGATCCTGCAGCCGGCTTCCCCGCCCACCCACCCACTACCTCATTAACTTCTTATACCTTCTCTATATTGACTTAAAACCCAAACTGGTTAACCAAACACCTTCCAATAAAGATACCCAGGTGTTACAGTCGCCTCCCCGGTGCCCGGAAGGGCAGGCAGGAGGGAGGGCAGCAGACGACGCTACACTAACCTGTGTAGAAGGACTGAGAGAGACCATAAGCGGCTGCACCAGCCACTGCCAGCACCTTCAAGCCGGTGCCCAGGCCACGAGGGCCCTTGCCAAGCCGACCAGCAAGGTCGTTCAACTTATCAGCCATTGTTACTACAGCACCTCAGATACCAACAGCAGCAGCAGCAGCAGCAGCAGCAGCAACACTACACATGTAAATATGATCACCGCGCCTGCGCGGCCCCGACCACCCAACACTATGGTTCTTATCTCATCAACAATAATAATAATTATATTATTATTAGTATTATAAATGTGATAATAATTAAAATAATAACAATAATAATTATAATAAAAATGAAATAAACATGCGACTGGTTATTGTCTTTTTTGAATAGTTGGACTGACTTGCACTGACAATCTGCTGGAAATTGAAACGTTACATTCACGTTCAATTATAATAATAATAATAATAATAATAATAATAATAATAATAATAATAATAATAATAATAATAATAATAATAATAATAATAATAATAATAATTTATTTCGGCATGATACATGTTTGTACAAAGGAATATAATACTTACGTGTACTTGCCACAAGCCCCTTTTTATGCAAAGCATTTCGAGTAACCTTAAAATTAATAAGGCAATAACAGTAAATAGGTGTGGAAAATTGTATTTATTTGAATGTATAATTATGTACATAACAGTAAATGAACAATGATAACTATTATTTATCAGTTAGACAAGTAGGAATTTGGGACACCTAGGTCGCAAAAAATGTCCCCTTCGATACCTACCACTGTCATATCCACAAGTTGCTCTGGACCTATTAATTATAAATGAAATATACATCACCAGGAATGCTGGTAAATATATAAATTTGTGGACTGTATACGTAAAGCTTTTGATACAGTTGACCATGACTTGCTCCACGTAAAATTGTCACACTATGGTATTAGAGGGCACTCCCTCAAGTCTTACCTCAGCAACAGAAGCCAATATGTGTACGCAAATGGGGCAAGCTCTTCCGCACAACCAATTACAGTTGGTGTCCCACAGGGAAGTGTCCTTGGCCCTCTTCTCTTTCTCCTATACATAAATGACCTACCAAATGCTTCGCAATTACTCAAACCCACACTTTTTGCAGATGACACTACATACGTCTTCTCTCACCCGAGCCCAGTCACGCTAGCCAATACTGTAAATACCGAATTACAGAAAATATCTACCTGGATGAGGACTAACAAACTTACACTAAACATTGACAAAACCTACTTCATTCAGTTTGGTAACAGAGCTACAGATGTACCTCTTAACATTACGATAAACAGATCACCTATCACAAAGCTAACAGAGGGAAAATTCTTAGGAATCCACCTCGGTAATAGACTCAAATTTCATACACATATACAACAAATTTCTAAGAAAATTTCCAAGACTGTAGGCATACTATCGAAGATACGGTACTATGTTCCACAGTCAGCCCTCCTGGCCCTTTATCACTCTCTTATTTACCCCTATCTCACCTATGGAATTTGTGCATGGGGCTCAACAACAACTAACCATCTCAGACCACTAATTACCCAACAAAAGGCTGCAGTTAGAATAACAAATTCTCACTACAGGCAGCACACTCCACCAATATTCAAAACACTCAACCTACTCACCATACAAAACATCCATACTTATTATTGCACTTATTACATACATAGAACACTTAACTCTGATATTAACCCTCCCCTCAAACATCTCCTTGCCAACCTCAACAGAACACATGACCATAATACAAGGCACAGAGTGACTTTCATTAGTTTCTTTTTTCTTGAAATACCAGACGTATACTGTGAATTTCATTTAACCTGTAGTTACCAGCGGTCGCAATATACACAACCAGAAGCAAATATTACTACAGAAAAAGCGTCCTTCCTCCAAAATTTCCACCAGTCAACTATAGTGATAATATAGCATTTATTGTGGTGGAGACGGAAAAAAAAATAGAAAAGCTAGATACCGTTCGTTTGAAGGTGAGATCCTCTGACTTGATCACTCCCAGGTCTTTTACATTAGTGTTTCACTCTGTTGCGTGGTTGGAATTTGTTTTATACTCCGATATAGTTTTAATTTCCTTACTTTTTCATATCCGAGTAATTGAACTTCAAATTGTTTTCTGAGGCCCATTTAAAGATTTGGTTGGTGTCCGCCTGGAGTCTTGCGGTGTCTTTAATGGAGGACACTGTCATGCAAATTTGGGTGTCATTTGCAAAGGAAGATATGGTGCTGTGGCTTACATCCTTGTCTATGTCAGCTATGAGGATGAGGAACAGGATGGGAGTGAGTACTGTGCCTTGCGGAACAGAGCTTTTCACCGAAGCCGCCTCAGACTTTACTCTGTTTATTACTATTCTTTGTGTTCTACTTGTTAGGAAATTATAGATCCATCTACCATCAGACCATTGCGGCGGGTTCATATAACACACAGACCATTGCGGAGGGTTCATACAACACTCAGACCATTGTGGCGGGTTCATATAACACTCAGACCATTGCGGCGGGTTCATATAACACTCAGACCATTGTGGCGGGTTCATATAACACTCATACCATTGCGGCGGGTTCATACAGCACTCAGACCATTGTGGCGGGTTCATACAAGATTCAGGCCATTGTGGTGGGTTCATACAAGACTCAGGCCATTGTGGTGGGTTCATACAAGACTCAGACCATTGTGGTGGGTTCATACAAGACTCAGACCATTGTGGCGGGTTCATACAAGACTCAGACCACTGTGGCGTGGGGTTTCATAAACGACTCAGCCATTATGGCGGGTGGTTCATATATGACTCGACCATTGTGGCGGGTTGTTCATACAAGACTCAGACCATTGTGACGGGTTCATACAAGACTCAGACCATTGTGGCAGGTTCATACAAGACTCAGACCATTGTGGCGGGTTCATACAAGACTCAGACCATTGTGGTCGGGTTCATTACAAGACTAGGACCATTGTGGCGGGTTCATACAAGACTCAGACCATTGTGGCGGGTTCATACAAGACTCAGACCATTGTGGCGGTGTTGTGATAGAAACACAGGCCTTATCTCTAGGCTTTATTGAACATAGAATCTTCATAGTACTTCTGCAACAACAAAATATAATGACTAGTACATCTAATAACTGCTTCTACAGGGATGGATGTCTTGCATATGTCAAGAGAAAAGTTATAATACAAGCCCACATTTTAAACTCACCATGTAATCTGACATCACTAATATATCTTGATGTAAAAGATGAGAATAAACAACCATGTGTTGGCGCCCATTGACACACACCAAACTGTTGTTGTTGTTAAGGGCCCGAGAGGTGGTGCAGTATTATCCTGTGCTGCTCCCCACAGGAGCAGTTATCACTACAATCTCCCCTTCTAAAATATCAGAGACGTAAATCTCCCAAACTGTTAGGTGGGCGGGACGTACACGTCCCGACCTTCGTAGGCCCTTGAGCCTCCTTACCAGGTTCAATATTTTCCAGCGGGGTTTTTGACTAAACTGCTCTAGGAGCAGAATCCTTATTTCTGTTAGGGGTAGTCTCAAGGGCTTCTTTCCAGGGAGGAAAACGAAGCATCTTTCACATCTATTGGTTGTATTTTGAGATTCCACACTAATGGGGATCCAACTGGGGCTAAAATGTCTTATAGATTCTGTGTCTCTTCACCATTTTGGTAGCGAATATGGTCGTAATGTCGGATTAGCTTGCAGGAGCTCTACCTTTTCCACTAAAGGATCGTCTTGTTCATCCTATGCGGTGTCCCTCTTCAGAGAGAAGGATCCAGGATGACTTAACCAAGAAACTGGGCACGGAAGGCTCCCGTAGAGGAACGACGTGAATAGTTGAGGACGTCTTTTCATGGGGGTTAGCCATTAGTAGCTGTGCACAGCCAATGATCTTTAAGTGAAGAGCATCAGATAGGACAGTTTGCCAGTGTTCAACAGGTAGATTGCGTGACTTCAATGTCATTGTAACTGCCTTCCATATGTACATGATCGCTCTTACTTGACCATTGCCTTGAGGGTAGTAGCTTGTTGTTCTGCTGCAGGCAATACCTTTGTAGCCAAAAACTTGAAGTTCGTTTACTCATGACGAGGATCCCCCTGTCTGAATGGATATAAGCTGGATACCAAAAATGAGAACAACTGTGAAAGACAACCTAATAACCGTTGAAAGCAGTCATATTTGCACAGGGGAAACACAAAGGGAAAACCTTGAATACTTCATTCTACTATGGTAAGGATACCTATTCTGATTTGTGCTTGGTAGGGTCCTTTGAAATCTATAATTCTGTCTCTCGAAAGGCTGGGTGGATTTTTTATGAGATGAGTTCTTGGGCTGATTGAAATTTGGCCATGCACTCTGCAATACTATGATATGACATGCTCTGATCACTTGTGCACATCTTCCACTGAGTAGGGAATGTTCTTTGAATTTGACAAAATGGTACAGGTGTGTAACTCCTGGGTGACACAAAGCCTTGTGGAGCGCTGAGATGATTACCAAATATGAACATGCTGACTACACAGTGGGACCTAGAGAATGCATCAGGTGAGATGTTCTCTTGACCCGGTCGGTACAGAATATCAAAGTCATAACACGATAGTTCCATCCTCCAGCGTAATATCTTGTCATTCTTTATCCTACTTTTGTGCTTCTTGTCGAACATATGAACATATACATCACGGACCGTTGGTCAGTCCTTATGGTGAAATGTCTACCAGTTAAATAATGCCTCCAGTGGCGAACTGCTTCTATTATGGCCTGAGCTTCCTTTTCTACAGCAGCATAACACTTCTCTGATCCTTGATTATTATTATTATTATAATCAAGGGGGAAGCGCTAAACCCGGAGGATTATACAGCGCCTGGGGGGGATGTGGAAGGCATTCAGGCTTAATTCGGGGAACTGGAGCACAGATCCAATTCCCTAAATCAAGAGCCCCTCACCAACATCAAGGAACCTTCCTTGAGGGGTCTGATCCTTGAAAAGTTCTCGAAAAAGAAGGCTACTGGTCGTCCTGCCTGAGATAAGACTGCAGCAATGGCAATGTCAGATGCATCCGTTTCCACTTCGAATGGTAGGGACTCATCAATGGCTTGAACTACTGAGTTTTCAATGTCCTGTTTAAGAGTATGGAAAGCGGCTTCTGCTTCCTTTGTCACAGGAAATGTGGTAGGAAT